ATTAAACTTAATTGAATCTTATCTCACTGAACGAAAACAACAGACAGAAATAACAAGAATTTGTACCAAATCTAAACGTGAGATCAAATATCTATCAGACTGCAGAGATACTAAATTTGGAGTGCCACAAGGCAGTGTGCTTGGCCCGTTATTATTTTTACTTTACATAAATGACTTACCATCTAAAATTGATCAACCAATGACCCTATTTGCAGACGACAGCACAGTGACTATTGAATGCGATGATAGAACCAACTATGAAAAAGAAATAAACAATTCACTTGAGTCAGTCATTAACTGGCTACATAAAAATAATCTTATAATTAATTTACAAAAAACTAAAGTCATGCATTTTCACCAAAGGAAAAAGACAGAAAATATATTAATAATGTATAAAGACCAAATAATAGATACGACTTCTGTAACAAAATTTTTAGGAGTCCATATAGATGATAGATTGACTTGGAATCCTCATGCAGAATATTTATCCCAAAAATTAAGTAAATATGCCTTTATACTTTATAACCTATCGAAAAAGTTAAATGTGAATACTCTAGTAACAGCCTATCATGGCTTAGTAGCTTCAATACTAAGATTCGGAATAATATTCTGGGGTAACTGTAGCGAAAAGGAACGTTTATTTAAAGCTCAAAAGCGATGCATTCGTTCTATGACCGGACTAAAATCTAAAGAAAGTTGTTTGGCAAAATTTAAATCTTTAAAAATTCTAACGTTACCGTCTTTATACATATTAGAAGTAGTACTTTTTGTGAAATCGAATCAACACCTATTCACGTCAATGTCGGATATAAGAAATCGCACGGGACCTATGAGGTCGCAATACATAAATCAATTATATACAGGTGGTCATAAAACAGCTCTATTGAAAAGGAATATTTTACACATGGGTCCTCTCATTTTCAACAAGATTCCTCAAACTTTAAAAGAGTTGCCCATAAATAGGTTAAAAAACCAATTAGTCAAACTGCTGCAAGATAAATGCTACTACACCATAAATGATTTTTTAAATGATAAAACTATAGATTATATGTTGTGTTCATTGTAGGATTTTTTCTGTGTGTATTTGTCCTTTTTAAATGTGAGAATCTAATTTTTAATTTGGTCGATTTGTGTTATTTATGATAAACATGTTTTGTAGTATTTAATTTTGACCTTTTATGATGTAAATAATTTTATTAAGAAGTTTGTTCAATTTGTATTCTTCTTTGACATTTTTATTAATTTAATATTTGGTACGATAGAGTATTTAACTCTATTATGTCAAAAAAATCTTATTAATTTGTGACTAGTTTATTAATTGTAAATTGATACTTTGCATACCGTAAGGTGAAATGTATTGAGACCATATAAAATTGTCCATCCTTTTTTGTAAACATACATTTTTGCAAATAAATGATTTCTATTTCTATTTCTATTTCAAAATTTTAAGATTATAAAAAAATCTAATGTAATAAAGGTTTCATACATTCTTCGATGTTACAATCTCTGTCCCATACAAGTTTTGACTACTCTGTGCCACTAGCTCTCTGCAATAACATTACACTGCACACGTTACGTAACACAGCTAATCACTTACATACATAAATTATCAATACTGCGCCTGTGTGGGTGCTACGGCGTAGCTCGTAGCGGGTCTACGCCGCTACGGAATAGACCCGTCTACGAGATTGTGTATTTTTTCTTCGATGGAAGATTGTGGTTTTTATTGATTTCTTGTTTGTTAGTTGTAAGTGGGGGTTAGCAGGAAGGTAGGTGGTGACTTTATATTGCAGTTTCAGATTAAGAAGTTAAGTTTAAGTGCTATCTCTTGTTACCCTATTTTGCTGTGTCTTACAAGGTCCATAATTGATATTTCACAAATTGTTACTACCTTTAAATGTACTTTTGGCAAATCAATAAAGATATTAAGTATTGAGTAATTTTATAAAGCTCTTATTTATTTCGATCACTCTTGCAGTGTAGTACGCTTTTCAAATTACTGTTTTGAACAAATAGTTCCTAAGGAATGGATCTCTCTTTATAAGATACTGAAGTTAACAACTAATCAACGTTTAAGATTGCTAAAAAATGTGTTATGCAAAATGTAATGTAAATGTTAAGTATTGGGAAGTGTAGTGCGACAAATCCTTTTACAAAAACAAGATTTTCAGAATACTGAAAGGCGTAGTCACACGTTGTCAAAGAACTGTCAAGTAACGTGTGACTACGCCTTTTTTAATATTTATCTTAACTTTATTTTTTTACTACACATTAGATTTTGTGATTATAGCCTATAATCAGCGGATGGTTAAGGCGTTTCTAATGATATGTCATTTGTCGAATTTTGATAAGTAGTTTTGAAGTTAGAAGGGAACAGATGAACATACATACATACATACCCTGTCAAAAGCATAACCCTCCTTTTGCGTTGCCGTTGTCGGGTGGTAAAACTGTGACATGTCGCTGTGACCTGGGTGTTAAAGTTTCTTCTTGTCATGCTCAAGGATATGGGTTCGAAACATGGCAAATATGAATGTAATGTTTTCTAAGTTTTATGTACTTTCTTATGTATTTTGACACCACTGACAAACGTTGAAGGAAAACATCGTGAGGAAACTGGACTATTAATTTCTAATTGTAAGTTTGAATTCACCAATACGGCTTTAGCAACATTTGAGAATAGGTTCATTAACCTGTAAGGGCACTTATAGGTTAATTAATATTTTTTAAGAATATTTTTATGTAAATAGGTCTTCAAATATTATAAATGCGAAAGTAACTCTGTCTGTCTGTTTGTCTGTATTTTCTTCACGCCTAAACTACTGAACCGATTTTGAAATTTGGTATAGACAGTTTGGAACTTGAGAAAGGACATAGAAGTCGTGGGCAGAAGCTTGCAGGTCATAAAACGGCAGTTTTACAGGTCAAAATTATATAATTTGCCGAGATACTCAATTAGTTTGTATGTAGCAGCGCGACAGTGGCCGAGTCGCGTGTCGCGGAATGCTGCTCATGAATATGGGCCTCTAGCATGGCTTGAAACTAGTCGAGTATCTCGTCAAATTATTACGTGAGTAAGCTGAAAACATAATAAATAAGTCTTAGATATCTCAGTGTCGGTTCCCGAAACAAATAAATTGTTATTATTGGTAATTTTAACTTTAAATAATTATATTGTTATTGGCATACATTTTTGAATTTAAATTACATTCATTATATTTCCTATTATTATTGCAGAATTAATTAAACTTCCGTCATAGAAGAAACAAATCGTTTGTGTGCTGTCTTTATGTATTTATTTTAACTCCTTATGTTAAACACCCAAAGTTAAGGCATTTTCTGTCAGTCAACCGCAAGGGCGATGCAAAGACAAAACCATTTAGAATATAGATAGGCACGAATGGGTCAGCTCGACCAGAGCGATACCACGGTGTGACAGAAAATTCGGCGTGAAATAACCACAGCGTTGAGTTTCGCCGCATCAGTGAGGTTGACTTGAGGCCCAATCTTTCCTCTTCCCTTATCAAAGCCCTAAATCTCCAAAACCCTAATCCCAAAAAGTCCGCAACGCACACATAACTTCTCTGGTGTTGCAGGTATCCATGGGCGGCGATGATTCTTTACTATCAGGTTAACCGCCTGCTCTTTTGCCATATTTATCAAATAAAAAACTTTTCATCTTTTTAAACTATCATACACTGATTAAGTATAATTAGGTGTTATTTTCTATACCAAATACAAGTGGAAATGAATCAAGTGGAATTTCTTCCAAATACCATATTTTTTTAAATAAATATAACATTGAAGAAAAACGTGCAGAAACTCAAACGTCAAAATGAAGGGTCTAGACAACATCGTGTATCAGCCCTAATGGGGCCATGAAGGGCAGATGGCAGTCTCCAAGCTCAATCCATATCTATTGATAAACTGTCTAATTACAACTCAGTGCCGACCCTAACTTTTTAGTTAAGGCAAGCTAAAAATACACTTAATGCCTCGTTATTAAGAACTTAATTCTTATACCTTAAAACTTTTAATGGACTGTTTGAATAAATATCTTCAATTTATACATACTTAAGCTTTAAGATATAGTTTATCTCAAACACAAGAATATTATTATTATCTTACACGGAAAAATCTGCCTAAAATCGCTACAAACGTTCGCTCAAGATGTGTTTTTAACGCACACGCGCAAACCGAAACGCACACAAACACACATAATGTGACATTTATAGACGCGTCAGCTGAAATCGCAATACAAAGCAAATTCAACTCTGTTTCAGTCTGATAAGGATGAAAATACCCAGCAAAAACTGAGCTAAATTAGGATATTTCAAAAGTCAAACACAACACTTGAAGTTTTTTTTCGTAACGAAAATTAAACTTTGTCTCGTAGGGCCAAGGTTGAGAATTGAATTGTTGATGAAAACAGATATGTCATGTCTATGTTCCGAATTTGAAAGAGCTTTCCGAGGGTAGCCGAGCGCTTACCGATCGGGTCCGAGTGGCGCCGAGACGAGGCGAGTGCCGAATGCATTACGACGTAGTGCTATAGGGCTGGTACAAAGGAAAACTGCTATTTTTACATATACATACATTTTTGTTTTAATACCTATATTTAATAATATCTTTAAAAAAAGTTTTTTTGTAGTTGGAAAAAGTTTTTCAGAGTAACGTAAACGTGGTTCTGACTGGGGTGCTATTTTTAAATAAATTAATTATTAATATTTAATAGAAATACAATATAAACCAAATTATAGAGCAACGATTTAATTCAAGAAAATCAGTAGCATAAAATTATACACAGCGTGCCAGAAAATATTATAGGAATGCATAAAAAAAATCAATACTTCGAATAGGTTTCATCTAGCCCGAAAATAGCAGTCACAGCCTAAAAAAACCTTACGAAAAAGCCGGAAAAGCTTGCCGTCAGCCCTGTGCGTAGGGCGGGGCGGGGCGGAGCGGCGCGCGCGGGGAGGGGGCGCGTCGAGTCGCGCCAGTCGGTCGCGGGGCGCCGCGCAGCCCACACGCGATATGCGCGCCCTCTAGCGTATTATGTTCCTCCCCGACCTCCCGCGAGCCTGCATGGTGGACGACGTAGCGACTTATTTGCAAGCGCCCTCCTCGGGACAGGTGGCTACAATTATTAACAACAAACCCATATGTAATTAACAATGATCATATTAACAGATGTTGTGAGCTAATGTTGCTTACCTAAACTGCGTCGGCCGCCCGGGTATTTTCGGGACGTACCGATTTCGCCGTCAGATCGATGTGGACGCACGTGATCCTATGTTGTAGGCTGGATGCGATACCACATCAATTGTAACAAGGTAACTTTAAAACGAGAATTAAAAAAAAAACTCGAAATCCAAAACACGTGTTCGTGGTTAAAGTTGGAGGTTGAGAAGAATTGGAATGAAAAGAATCAAGTGTAACGGTCTCTGGAAGCAAACGTTGTTGCAAACAGTTCGTGTAAACAGATCGATAAGCATGCTCTCGTAAGAGATCGACAGATACAAGCTGTGATTTACATTCAACCTTAAACTATTCAGTGCTAAACGTACCTTTAAAGTGAAGCTTTGCCACGTTAAAACGATAAAATCCAAAGAAAACCGGGTAAATATCCATTTCTATGTTATTTCAATTACATTTGCTACGCTAAATCCACTGCAAATCTTTATGGGCGATAATAACCTTCAAATGAGAGCTAAATTATTTATTATAAAGAACAATCGTAAAACTAAACATCTAAAGCACGGTTGTAACGCATATTTAAAGCTTAGAACTAAAATTAAGATCGTGTTGAGAAACAATCCAATGACTAAGAATTAATGACTCAGAATGACAATGATTTTCATTTAATATAAGTCTATAAATAATTTTAAGACATAGCAGTTAAGAGTCATCATTAATATAAAAACAACGCTAACTTCTAATCACGAAAAACATAAAATAAAAACCTAAAACACAATTTGTAAAAGCAGGAAATGTTAATTTCATTCATAAAAATAATAAAATCAACGCCTAATAAAAGTAAAAATAAAAATAAAAAAGAACACAACAAACCTCTTTGCTAATAAAGCTCGTCTATTCAACGTAAAAAAAAAGTCTCGAAAGCGCCACAGATTATAACAATAATAGAAATGTAAAAAGGTTAGTGAATCGATATGGTGTGGCTAAGATGTGAATAAGTTGACTGCAGGGAAACTACGGCATAGAATAGCATAACGCCCATCGCATCTGCAGTTTACCCTGTTTTGCTAAAATCGGCTCTATCTGACTGCAAAAACAATTTACTTGTCGTTTTCAATGAAAAAGGGACTTTTTGTGCGGGTTCGCGGACCTCTTTCTTTGAGTTACGTGGTCCTTTTTCTGTTTTTAGGTTAGGATAACATGTTTTAGGTAACGCGTGTTTTTCCTTATAAAGATTTCTTGTCTTCGGTTTTGATTGAAAGAGGTTATAGTTCCTTCGTTGTTCTTTTTATTGATCTACATGCGAATTGTACTTTATTCTTTTTATAATTCTTATGTAAATCAAATTTCGATTCTGTTATGACATTTTAAAAAGGCAATCTTTTAATATTCGTAATTGTTTGTTTATTTATACTTTAAGAGATCGTTTTTTAAAAGCTTTCGTTTATTTTGTTCATATCTTGGAAATTTTGGAGTTATTGGCTCGGTGCCCTAATACTTTGCCCTTGATCTTGATGATGGGAAACCGTTTAGTAAACATTCAGTTTTTTATGTAATTACAAAGATACATTGTTTTTTTATATTCTATTAATTTGTTTTTGTTTCATAATTAACTTCTCGATACTTATTTACATTTTTTTGAGGTACTCGTAGAAAAAAGTTAAAATTAGTCCGATTACCTTATTTCTTCTTTTGGAAAATTTATTTTTGTGAAAAGACTATTCAAAAATAGTTACTATGCCGTAGTTTACTTCTTTAAATACTTTCTTAGGATAAACTTTTACCCATCTTAACAAAAAAATAAATAAACTACAAGCATTAGGTTTTTTTATCAATTTGGCGCAGAAAAAACGTGCTTACCTATAAAATATAGGATATTATAAAACGGGTTCACGGTAACACACTCGCAAGTTTGTTGAGCGCAACCCAGCGCTTATTCAGCGGAGATAAACCGACCAGAACTAGACACAAGTTGAAATTCTAATTTAATTTCGTACATTTTAGGTACTCGTAGGACACGATTGCAGTGGATTACAATTTAAAACATCGGAGTTTTCGCTAAAACAAAATGGTTGGTTAGTCAAGAATGGAAAAGAAAATTGAAGAAATGCTCATTCATTAAAGTAACATAGAATAAGAATGACAAACAAGGAATCGATGAATAAACAAAGTTATTGATAAAGAGAAATAATAAATTTACGATGTTTGCGTTGAATTTATGCTTCGGAAATGGTTTCTTTATATAAGTATAAAACTAAAGCTGTAAACTTGAATAATCTGAGTTGCTAAACCGTTAATATCTAGAATCATTTTGACAGGAATCGGAAAATTTAATATTTAAATCTGTTTTTGTAATATCTAATTTATAAATTATTCAAATATCAAAATTTAAAATGGGAATCTATACAAAACGATAGTTTTTTGTCAAATAAGTATCACAAAAATACAAAGGTATTCAATTTTATAAAAATAAATCAAATAATTCGTAAAAATAATAAATAATATGCGGAAAACTAACCAAAGATAACACAAATGTTTAAAACCAAATACAGAATATGTAAAAGAACGAACGGTATAACTGAATGATAAACAGCCACAGATTCAAAACGGTATTCGAATGTTTTAAAAATTAAAAAGTATTACGTCCAAAGTACCCGGCCGGCTTACGTTGAGCGGATCGCGACGCATCGGTGTTATTCGGTGTATCCCCTATTATTTCTTCTATCACCCTTTTTGCCACTCGATGTATGAATGTTTTCACTAACTGTTAATGTTGATATTTAATGTATCCCTAATAATTGTTAGTTTGGACTTTTTTTTCTGTCTCCTCTTGATATGCGTGGGTTTTATGACGTTACCCTGTATATCTTTGCCATCTTAAGACATTTTTAAACATTCCTCGAAAATATATTTTAAACGGATATCTAAACGCGTTTTAGTCATTATAACATTATTATTTACTAACAATATTCATAATAATTCACGCATAACAATTATGTATATTCGGTTTTGTAACTGAAGAATGTTATTTTGTTTTTACGGAATAAAACTTAAATACATCGTACAATTGACTGACCACGGAACGATTAACACTTAAACCAATTAAAAAGAATGAAGTAAAAATCAGGTAACATTTTATCCAGTTACAAAACAATCGGGGAAATAAAGGCTTTGAACATGTAGATTAGCAAAAACACGTTGAATGATAACGAAACAGAATTTTTGAAATATAATTAGTAAATGGATTTCTTAAAAAGAGTTTTATTTTCCCGAACTGAGTGTTTAGTCAATAATTCTGTATATGTGCATGACTCCTGAATGCACTACCCTCTAAGCGAGAATGTGTTGCACGTACCTGTTATTTTTTAATGTTCTTTTTTTAAATTTCTTTTTTAATTTCACTACTCCAAGCAAAGGAATCCATTAGTGAATTGGATTTGTATATTGATGTTTTTTTTATTTCGATTGCAGCGCACAGGTAATCATTTATAATGCCTGTATGTAACCTCGACTGTTTTTCAATCTTAATGTCTATATTAACCATGTATTTTGTATAGTACGTTGTTTAAGTTTTTGGTTTAAAATAACGAAATATTGCGGAGATATTACCATCTGACTCGTAAATTGGGTTAATATCAAGTCGTTGCGACAGTAGGAAGGCTGTTAAATAAAACACCGGAATTTTGGCGTTCTATAAATAAACTGAAATAATGCGTAGATCGAGAAATATGAAGATTTTTTTTCGGCATTGAAAGCTCTGGTGTTTCGTCGTGATGTTATTATGTTATTTAATTTTTATTTTTCCAGAATGATTTAATACCGTTTTTAAACGCGTTTCTCTCGAGTTTGATATTTATTTTTATATTTTTGCTATGTATCTGCAGGCAAAAATAGTTAAGATTTTCTGAACTATAAACTTGTCGGTCCCTACTTTCACAATTTCTAATAGAATTAACCAAAAAGTATATTTTAATTTATTTAAAATAAAATATACCTACACACATATTTGGTGCCCTCTTTGGCACCAAATAATAATGATAATATAATTCCCGGCGTTCATGATGGTCAGATTTGATCGTGCTGAAAAGAAATAACAAGAAAAAACACAATGCGCGACCTTAGGTAAGTTTAATTATCTTAATCTAAATTTCTCACTAGCTTCTTCCAGCGGTTCCGTTCACAGTACCAGGCTATAAAGTAGCCTTCGTTATTATAGACTATATAACCTATCTCTGTGCTATATTTCAATCATATCTGTTAAGTAGTTTTAACGTGAAAGAGGTACAAACAATTGGATAGATGGATATATGAATGGATATCCATACATGTTGTATAAGTAAATCTTTTAATATATAAATAAATAAAACATACAAACTGTTGTCGTTATAACGTTAGTGGGATTATAATAATTATTATATTTGATAGTACACTTCACTACCCGTTTTCATGTTTTTTTTATACATTTCATACGCATTTTATTCACAATATTAAATCTTTAAAATTACGCAACGGATTTGATGAGGTTATTTTGATGGATATGATATATATGAGTGATGCGTAATGTGATTGAAAAGAAAGGTTTATATGCATAATAATATTCATTAAAAGACGGAAAAGTCGAGTACCAGCATTGCGACCGTGTAAAGCCAAGTTCATGATAAAAATTCAATTGCTATAAGTAATAGAAACATTTTCTCACTATTTCAAACAAAATGTGCACAAAACCATATTGAGTAGAAACAAACAGAAATAAAGTTTATGCCGCCTTTAGTTGTCTCTGGTACAAGCACAATAAAAAATAAGGAAGAAATAAATAAGCATAGACAAAGAGGATTTTCTTATAATATCTCTGTATAGAGGTCGTAAATCTGTGATACAACCTTTTTATTTGTTTCATTTGGCTAATTGTCTGTGATATTTAATGGGAAGCTCCATTT